CTGCTGAAGAAAGATTAGGACAGTGATTCTCCAGGGTAACAGATGCTATGCAGCTTCTACCATAGACAATACACCTTCTGCATATTGAATTACGTTTTACTTTCATGTGAGAATTTATATCAAAATGACAAAATGTCTTCAATCCCTTATATAATCAAGAGACACGTATACTGCTCAGCACGAAAGTCAGTCCTAAAGTACGTAATGCCACAAAGGATGGTGTAGCCTTTTCCCAAGCTCTGCTCTTGGCAGCCAGATTTACTTTTTAAATTTTTTACCTGACAGATTTAGAAAATTAAAACAATATAGTCAAAAATTACCACCTCCTTAATTGCTGAAACAAAACACAGATATATAAAAAAGTATTATAAATATATTAAAAGTTGTTACTCTACCTCTCCATTAAAAAAGCAGAAAATTGTAGCCACCAGCAGACCCTGTAAAATAAAAATAAAAAGATTCTGCTTTATTTCACATGCGTATGGATTTTTTTTTTCCCTCAGGTTTGAGATAATTAGAAGTTTCTGATAAAATTCAGATACAGATAGCAAAGAAAATGTAGTACAAATCTAAACTTAGTGAATTATTTCTAAAAATACATTACTAAAAAGTATTGAGCCAGCTATCTACTGTAGTACGTTTCTTTCCTGTAAGAAATGAAAGTTCAGCATCGTGAGAAAGTTAGTTTACAAGAATATTGCAGAAAAGTCTTTAAAAAAGTAACACGATCATTTCTCCTTTATTTGCTTCACCTGCCAACTTCTATCTAGCTCAAGCGAGCAAGAACTGTCTAATGCTTCCTACCTGGTAGTGCATAAGGATGTGCATCACATAGTCATACACTTCCTCAGCGATCCGGCCTTCTGGTCGCCATGGAAACAGCACAAACTCAATGCCAAGGAGTGGCACCAGAATCAGGGTGGCTCTCACTGCCTTCATGTACAGGTTGGATTCTGCCTTGTGGGTGTCCTTCAGCTTCGTTATCAGAACACGAACGATATTGAGCAGGAAGAAAAGATTCACCTGTCAGAAAAGAAAATGACACTGAAGATAGCCTGAAAAGGAATCCCACACACGGTTTTGTGATGCTAAAAACTAGAAACGCAAGCAAATTCATACTGCGTAGATAGCATTGTGATTGTACGACAACCATGAGTTAAAGCTCTTTGAAAACACCTTTCAGTAACTGAGAGTGGACTCTAACATCTCTTATCCACATCCATTCCTCTAACTCATTAGGCAGCTGTCCATCCCGGTAACTGTTGGTCTTCCAGTGCCAACAATCCACGCACCTTTCTCTCTGCTATCACAGTAACAGTACACAGGTGAATGATTAGCTGCTTTAAAATGATTATGTCTTTTTAAGTTGGTAGTCTTCTCTCTTTGTGTTTAAATATGGTTCTTCAAAAAGCTACATTTTATTTTTCAAATATGAATTTGACAAATTTATAAAGAAAAAAATCAGATTAAAAATAAAAATAAACATAAAATTGCAGGCAAAATGCTGCTAACAAGGAACTGTGTATACTCCTGTAGACAAATAGCAGATTTAATGTTCTCACAGCGGCCGACGGTTGGATTTGTGAATCATTCAGGAGAACTGCAAATGGGGCAAGCACTGAGGAGATGCTCTACATCATTCTCATACACTACTGAACTCGATTATTTCCATAGCTATTAAGGTTTTTCTTGTTAACAGTGGTGCATACCTGTTCATGCCATTTCACAAAAAAAAAAAATATCCCCAACTGAAAACTGTATCTTTCAACATGTGAGCTCTCATTGTAAGCAACCACAAAACTAATACACACATATGTGTACATATATGCGTGTATATACACACCCACCCCCAAAGAGACGAAGGACGTGAATAACCAGAGCAACTCCAACGTTAGCGATGATTACACCATATCGTCATCTCCCATGCAATAGTGGCAGCCCCTCACAGGAACTGGAGTTAGAAGAGACCTCAGGAAGTCAGCCAATCCCCTCACCTTGCCTGAGGGCACAGAGCCAAGAGAATGCTGCGTAGGGGAGCACTATGGAAGGGAGAGACCTAGAGTCTGGTCCTACCTCTGGTCTGTCCTCGTCAACAACTATCCAGTGACAAAAGGGGGAAGGAGAAGCCAGCAGACAAACAACTCCCCTCTAAAAAGACTAGGAACTCCTGGTCTTGGGGGAGGCCTCTGTCTTCCCGTAGGACAAGTGCAAACAAGGAAGCCATTTCGGAGCATGTGTGTCACCATGTCCTCCACAATCCTGGCAGAATTCTTTCATCTTTCATGTCAGTTAAGGTTTTCATGATAAACAGCTGTGTACTGTTATAGCAACATGGCCCTTGACAGATATGTGATGTTATTTATATTCTACTTACATGCTATTTAAATCATTTTAACAGGAAATTGTTTTACATAGGAAACCACTGCATGAATTTCTCCTGGAAGTCTCCAGCTACCTTTAAGTTTTGTTTAAGCAACCAAGGTCTTCTGATTCTTTCTCAGGGATTTATTTAGACTTTATGCAAGCCCACAATCCTCATCCAACTTCCTATTGTACACATAGACAATAAGTCCTTCCTCCATTTCTATATTTAATCCTTCTCACTTAAATCTATTAGTTCAACATCGACATCTCTCAAACCCATAGTTTTCAGCCCTCTCGCCTTTGGTAGCATGGCTAATTCCTGTATTACTGTCCTAAATATTAACTGAAGATGAAAGTTGCATGAGCCAGGAGTAAAATACCACCAATTTCATTTACAACATGCTGAAATGCACAGAATTTTCCTGATCCTTCCACTTACCCACCAAAACCAAAAAGCACAGACATAAGCACACAACGAGTTTGCAAATAGATATTAGGGCAAACAGAAAAGATGAATGAGGCAGAGGACAGAGAAGAACAGTACGAGTGTCAGTACAAGTATGCAGCACCAATTTTTGATGAGTATCTCTTCTGCCACAAATACAATGAGATCAGGATGAAGTGAATTCTTATCGACGTGATGAAAACAGGTCTTGACTTGAGCAAGGAAGTGAGTAGATTTTTACATTTAAGTAAAAGCAGGCAAGTGGAACTACTCGCATATGTATTATCATCGAATTGACTGGTTTGTAAAGCCCCAAAGGAGTCCTGTTGTGCTAGCTGCAATATGAACACATAGCAAAATAACGGTAGCTCCATGGTGACCTGAACTGGGCAAATGAACAAAAATGGGAACAAAGGCAATCCCAGATAAAAAGAAATGTTGGCGTCTATACTGGGAACTTAATAGAATTTAACTTCTGCCTTAAGAGTGTCAGTGAACTTAGCTGAGCTTGTAAGTCACTAGGAGCTGCAGTTCTTGAATTCAAACCTCCTCAGGTCCCTGATATTTCTACTCTCTCCATGTTGAGTTTGTGCTAAGCAGTATGGTAATCCTTATTAGCATGTAGGTTTAAATCCTGTTTAAATTCCTCCTTGGGATAAACAGACCATTCTTAGCTCAAGAAACTCAGATATTCTTAGATACTGGCTGGTAGCAATTGCTTGGCTTTTAATAGTTATGCAGCTTCAGATCTGAGCCTGCCTGAGCCTGGCTTGCTTAGGCAGAACACCTGTATGTGCTTATAAAGACAAGCTTTACACCTGGCCTGTGAACATTTCCAAGGCTGCATGTATGATGCTCAGCATTCAACTTCTAAACTCTTAAGTCTTGTTTGTACTGAGTCCAGCTTAAAGTCATTAAATAGGTCAGTGACAAAGCTAGCAGCTCCTGGAATTCCTTCTAGTATACCTTCACTGAGTGCACTTACTACTTCTGCTGAAAGAATGTGCATCTATAAAAGGCTCTCAGTGTAAGACACCAATGCGTAACGTTATTATAGGGCAAAATAAGCATCCCTGTAGTATTATATATACAAATAGTGGCATAACTAAATAAAAACCTACTCTTTCAGCAGCACCAATGCACACTAAATCACTAAAGCACTGGCGCATCTGAAATCAACACTGAAATCACTGCTGCTTTCACCAGTTCAAACTGGTTTTTCACACTCCCCTCCATTTTGATTAATATTTGTCTAGTGTAAAAACTAACATCACCCTCTACTGTTTCATTCCCACACTATTTCTTTAATTGTGGCTGCTTAGGCAAACAGTTCTAATTAAATGGTCAACTGAAGACAATTCCAATCAAAATGCACCCTACGTCTGCTCCCATTTCCCGTTTCTTTGGCAGGGATCTGACCGCAGTTATGTAAGAACAGGGACCATAAAAGCAGGGTTATTGTTAACTTTATGTAATTGTAGGATTTTCAGTGATGTATGAGAGTTAAACTCGCATTGGCTTCTGCCAATTCTCCCTGGCACCCACTTGACAGTCCTCCTCATGTTCTTTGAGATCTTGCTCCTGCAAGTAGAAACAGTGTCTTCTCCCCTCGTTATCTAATTTGCAGCTTAATATTGCTGCTTAAATGTCTACTAAAGCAGGTCATGGTTACTAAAGTGTGAAAATTGTATCTGGCAAGCAAGCTGCTTAAGCAAATGAGGGTTCTGTTCACAAAGCCTAAACACATGCATTTCATCTGATGTCTTCATCCCTGGCTTGTCTCTTCCAAACTGACATACTGCATTTTTTTGTTACCAGAAAGGAAAGCAACTCCTTTAAGGTACTTTCCCATCACAGACAAGATGTGTATTTGTGTTTAATCTGTGTTGTTCCTACCTGGTTTTCAAATAAATTTACTGACTATACTGAGGCAAGAAAAATGCAAGAGAAACACCTTCAGTCTGTTCAGGACAAATATAAGACTACCAAAGGTATACATATTTGAAAATTGCAAAGGGAATAGACACAGATTCTGCCCAGAGAGGCAATTATTATGCCTCCAGGAAAATCAAAGGACATTCTTAGTGTTGCCTTGAACAGAAAGCAGACTTGACAGTTTGGGACTGACCCAGTACATTTGAAATCAGTAGGAGCTTTGCCACTGTTTTCAGTGTGACTTTGTGGAGGCCACAGCTGGGAAGGAGAAAATAATCTTACATCTTAAAATGAGGTCACTTCGTGGAAGGTGGTATAGTCTCATAACTTTTACACAATATTTTCTGTTGTTACTTAAACAAGCTCTGACTAATACAAATTATATCTCAGCTTTAAAGAGCTTTACCTAAGTGATATATCTGTAAAGAGACACCTGGACAAAGGAAGTAACACCCCACAAGGTAAGGCAGAATAGCATACAGTTTCTAGGTGAAATGCAGCACCACTGAAGTAAGCAAAAGAATCCTATCCTTTTCTGTGAAAACAGGATTTCACCTTCTGTGTAAATTTGAGAGAAGAAAAACTGAAAGGATTTATAATTGATTTTAAGTTTACAGATTAGAGCACTAAAATGTCTTTGCATGAACATATATGGCAGACCTGACTAAGAGGACAAGGAATTCTCAGTGATAATTCACACCGTAAGGGCCATTGGATCTCAATAATGGTTTCAACACAAAATGGTATCAACATAACCTTCAAAATATAAGTTCATCAGTTAATTTCACTGTAAGTGAAAGTGGGAGTCACAAGAACCACATGATTTAATGCAATGGTTTTCAGGGAGAATTCTCTATGCACAGAATGCTCTCTGGAAATATTGATTAACAATTTAACAGAAAAGGAAGTTCGTGTAGATCAGAAACTGAAATTATTTCTAAAAAGTTACTTAGAGTTTTCATTCTTAATGAATTTCCTTGCATGAACTGAAAAGCCATAAGAAAAGTCAGCAGACATATACAATACCTTTGCCAGATGAGATTGAAGTCTCTGTTACAACACGAGATGACTGCAATATATATAGACAGCAGCCATTTCAGATCCTATATAGAATGCCTCTACACTGCAGCATTCTCTGCATTATGCATTCATAGATGTTAATTGTGTAGACAGTTGTGTGAGTAGGTATATGTTAGTATTTTCTTTTATTGTGCACCTATTTCAATTTAGGAGTAATCTATTGACTGAATTTCATAGGTTAAATTCAGTCCTAGAATAACTGAAGTACGACATTGATTTTTATACAGTGGAGTCTTGAGTTACTTGCCTAGAATTTAATGTCCTCAGTATCAAACACTGGCATAACAGAGCTGGCATTAACTTGGCGTGCAGGACAGAACACTACGCTCTGAAAGTTCATGCGGACTAATGAGGCAGAGCTGCCGCAGTACCCTGGTGGCCAGAGCACACATTGCTAGATTAGTACCAGAGCAGGGGCAGGCACAAATACTTGCGGAACTATTTCCACTGGTTCTTTCCCAAGGGCCTGCTCTAGTTTCTCTCCATCCTGTGTTCCAACTCACAGTCAGGCCTGACATTCAAGCATCCTCTTTCTGAACCCCAGTGAGGTCCTGCCTGGTAGCTGCTTGCCCATATTAGCACAGTGACACAATGATGCTCATAGTAGGGTCAACCTGGCAAATGGCCTGGGCAGTGCAAAAACACTCTCTGCTAAAGAAAGGACTTGAACGCACCCCTCCAGTACTCCAGATAATATTTAGTCCTTCCTTGTCAGTAGCATTTAAGTGGAATGATAATCAACACTGCAAAACCTGAGTTTCTCAAGGGACATGGGGTACAGGTCCTTAATAATGCCGAGACTTGTGTATCTGGTGTGTCTAAGGCACCTACTGGGTTAAGCAAGAATCCTGTGAACGACAGTGACCTCTAAATCTTAGCTTTAGGCTCTTACCAACTTTTTAAGCCTGTGAAGAACAGCCAGAAAACAAATAAGAAAAGCAAATTATTATCTGAAAAATGCCTACCAACAGAGCAGCACAAATAGGGCCATGGATGATGTACAGCAGATGAGTATCAGAGCTGATCCAACAACTAAAGAAAACAAACAGGGAAAGAAAAAAACATTTGGCATTTTAGTATCTGTTGTATTCCTTTTTTTCCCCTTAAAGAAAAAACAACAGTTTTGCATAGAAAGTTGAGATGCTACTTACTTGTCATTGTAATATAAACTTCTAGCAACGGCATGTATGCAGGCAGGGATCAGTGGAAAACCTGTGAAGAAAAAACAATGTTTTCTTCATATATAAGCCTGGCAAATAACTAAGTCAACTTGCATCTCTTGCAGGAATCTTCTCTATTTTCACCTTATCTAAACTACGTAACTGCAGAGCAAATAAAGTAACAGGGACCAATCCTGTTTCTATTTTCTCAGAGTTATTTCAGAGAAGTATATGAAACCTTATTCCCACTGTCTTGCCAGGAAATCCATACCAACACACAGAAAGAAAAGGCAAATCAAATTATAACTTTTTAGAATGAAACAATCAATTTTCATTAGCACAGATGTTTTTCAGACTGCAATCTGCAATAAAGCTAAATAGGTAAGTAACATTAAAAAGGTGATTGCATATATGACCATAACTTTAACAGTATGATTATCCATGTCCTCACTGCTACTTGCTGGGTATTCAGAAAACAAGGTCACATGCAAAAAAAAAAAAAAAAAAAAATTTGAAAACAGACTCTGGCAATCAGGCTGAATTCAAAATATGAAAAGAATAAACAAATTCATTATCTGGGGTCCTTGACACTCTGGTGGCACCTAATTTTAAGAAACTGCTGAACACCTATGATCTTTTAACCCCATGTCAGTTGTGTCTGTAGTGGGACGGCTAGCGACCCAGGTGCCCAGACACATTCTAGCTGAATGTGCCAACACACTGAAGCTGAGGAGAAAGCCCTCACTTGCACTCTGCGAACACGCTGTTGTGCATTATCTGAAAAGACCAGGTTTGGCTGCTGAGTTTTCATACTGATATTACTTGAGATCTTCAGCTACAGCTATTCTGTATTGGCTTAGTGAACAATACAGGTCAAATGGAACTGCTGGAAAAATAAATCCTTGGCCATCTTAACTCAGTTCTGACCCTCCACCCTAGACATGGCGAGACTTCTCTGAAAACAAACATTCATTCCTGAATAAACATCTTCGAGATGAGGAACAATGAATAATTACTTCTTAATGTCCTTTTTATAATAGGAGACTATTTTCTCTATACAAAGGAGGAGTCGCTTCCTGACTCCAGAAATGCATAATCTCTCTTTCAGCAAAGATAGAGGTGCGTACAACTTCCTACATTAACATTTCTAAGCCTGTTAAAACACTACAGACAAAGAGGAGGGGTGTGTCATCGTTGTTCAAAGCTACCAGCTCAGCGAAGCAAAGGTACAGATGTTCGGATTCTCATGAAAAGGAGGAAGAGATTGCATTGGCCTTAAAATACAGAACGTGAAATTGCATACCCCAGCCAAGAAGGTAATACCACATCAGGTGTTGTTTCTCAGCAAAAACTGCCACCACAATGAGAGTATGCAGATAAATGCCTTCACACAGCATCCAAAAGTAGTTGCAACCCATTAGGTACAGGTAGATGAACTGTGACACTTTGCAACTAACCTGCAGAAAAAAAGCAGAGTACAATATAAATTTTTAAGTTGCAAAAATCTCAGAGCTTTATTTGCAAAATGGAAAAAGATACTGCTCAAGTCAAATGTTAATGTTTATTCTGATTTTCACTACAATTATGTTTTTAAAATGCTTCCAATACTTCCAATTTTAACCTAGTCAGAATTGCACTTAGGGCCAGTTGAGGACCTGCACAGTAGGTTCTGGAAGGGAGCTCTCTTGTTGGCATATATTTGTGTTTAACTTCATTCAGAAGATATTCTTCAGTTGAAATGTTAAAATATAGCTTATTCTGAAAACTGAAATGTGAGGTTGTGAAAAAGGAGCAATAGTTAACTTGCACATTTGGACACAGTAGATATTTTTTTTCCTCGTGAAATTGCTGTGTGTGTGACTGATCTATTTCTGGCACTTAACTTAAAACAAACAAACAAATCAATATTGTTATCCCATGTTGTGCTACCTAACTCACTTGATGATGATTATTAGCTGCTATCTCCAGCCTATTTTCCAGCACTTTGATGAGTTTTGACAGGAGAAAAAGAATTTATCTTTTTACTTGATTCAGCTTCTGGAGTTTTGCCCTAACTTTCACAGAATTTAAATTTATCTTCCAGGTCTAAACAAAAATAAAGCCATAGTTAGGGATTTGTTTGTTTATGCATTCAATTTTCAGGCTTTTCCGTTGCTATAACTCCTAGCCTTTTGGGAGAGGCTACTGATTCACACTTACCCCAGTATTATTAGGAAATGAAAGAGAAAAATCAGACCCAAATGGATGGCTTTTTTGGTTTGCTTTTTACTTTTGGACTATAAGGGTCAGCTTTAGCTCCTTTCACTAAATAAATAAATAAATAAAAAATTTTCTCATTTCAACTGAAGATGGCAAAGTTAAAGCCATAGGAAAGTAGCTGACAGATCCAAAGTACATTGCAAAGGGGTTTTTTACCGCCCTTCCTTGGTGAATTCGACTGTCATAACCTCACTGACATCATCTAGAATAGGCTACTGTCTTGCAGTTGTTTCAGTGCGAAAGTGATCTGTAGAAATTCAGAAGAGCACTTCAGTATGCTCTGTCCCTTAGAGTGTTTTTAGTATTTCAAAACCTCAAATGTGAAATGCCCAAATCATTGGTAGACATTTGTTGTACTATGTAATATGGATACATCGTCACTGAACATTTTAACCTCCTATATACAACATTTCATCAACTATTCATGTCTCATCTCTTCTGTGTTGCTGAAGTTTTCCACATGCAAATCAACAAGACTGCCAAATATACTTTCACTTACTGGATTAGTTGCAACTAACTCCTGATTGTTGGCAACTGCAGTCAGTGAAATTATTGTTACAACAGAGTTGCAAACAAAAGAGAAAAATAGATTTTTATGCAGGGTAATCCTTTGGCAACTCAAGCTCCTAGAAAAGAGAAACAAGAACAAATGAATACACGGGGGGACAACTATGTGTACTTGGGGACAACTCTGAAATTTTGAAATACTAGAGCTCTTTTTTTTATTAAGAAGTCTTACATCAACCCTTTCTTCAGCTCCAGTCCAAATCTAATAGAATGATGTGAAAGGTAACACCTTCCCTTAAACGCCAACAGGAGGCAAAGCAAGTACATTCAGTTCCAGTATGTTTACAGTGAAGGACCTGCTTTGTAGTGGCTATCTAAAAAAGATTTGAATAGTAATAATACAACATATTTCAGAAGATTTATACCTTTTTTTGTTAGTACCTGAAGAATTTCCCAACTATCATACCTGAGCTTGAAAAAGCTGTCTTACCCTACGTTTCCATTTACCCAAACCTGTTGAGATTTTTTGAGGATACTTATCTTTTTACCAACATTCTTGTCATTTTTTTCTTCCTTAATCCTATAGCTAGAAAAATACTCAAATAAGTAAAACCAAATGCAAATACAATGCAAATCTTATCCTGACTTTTGTATATAACTAAGTTATAAACATTACATAAGATACAATTATAAAATGCAATATATAACTGCATTTAAGTGTGTTAATTTTCAAGATTTGCTTTTAATCTTGCAATAAATTTTAAGAGAAAAATATCTTAGGAAGAGCTTTCTTTTTTTTTTTATAAAGAGGTTCAATAATATAAAACAATACTCGAAGTTGAACATAGTCATAGCATGTTTTCCATTCCAGAGAAAGCAGGGCTAACTTAGCACCATTCCAAGAAGCAGTGCTTCTTATTCAAGTTTTTCCAAAGAAATTCAGCTTTACAGATGAACAGAAATGATAGAAAGCCTATATGGATATACAAACAATTCAGATCATTGGGATCTTAAGCCTTAACGCTCAAAATTCCCAAAAGAACAAGTAGCATCCATTTTGTTAGGAAAGCCGATGAGTTTACAAAGCTGGGTAAAAATGATCCTGTTAGATTTAAGATAGGGGCTGCACAGCAGATAGGAGCCAAGTGACTCAATCAGAGTCATGCAGCATGTCAGTACTGGCAGTCAGGAACAGAGCGCACTTTTGCAGGGTGAGCATTGCTAAGAAAGCTTTCCCACATGCACAGAGATGTGATAAAGACTGTGGTACTGTGGTCACTCTCAGGAAAAGCTCTTTGGTTACTTCAGAGAAAACATCTACTAAAGCCTCTGCTGTAGAGTCTGTGCTTTATAACCGCCCCTACCCACCTCCTTTTCATAGCCAGCAAAATGGAGTGCAGTTCATTGACAAAAGGAAATGACTAACTGGAGGAAGAAAATCTATCACTTACACATGTAACTGCTCTTCACTGTTAGAGAAATCAGAAATACATTGACAAGGTCAGCAGGGGACAAGTCTAAATTGTCACACGGGGGGGGAAAAAATAAAAATAAAGTTTTCTAGCCTTTTCAAATAGCATGCCTGGAAGAAAAAATTAAGTAGGAGCATTGTTTATTAATTTTTAATTTGAGAGGGCAGGAGGGAGAAGAACTTTATATTTTAGAGAAATGCAGATATGGAATAGTCACCAAAGCTGAAGGAGTATGTTAAAATCTGTTGAGAACGTGATAAATGAAACAAGAAATGAAATGACCCTACCAAACAAGAGACACAGTCAAAAAAGACTGGCTATAGGAGACTGCACTCCTTGGTTGCATTCTTTGCAACTACCACAAGAAAAGCGTATGAAGCACCCCACAGATAACATGGAGTAAGTTAAGAGGTTCAGATATGCACAGTGCCATACCATGAATCAGGCAGACAGAGCTTCTGCGAGTCAAGCCTCGGAGCCCTGAGATGTTCTAAGCCTCATGCCACTAAATATAGGGGAAGGAAACCACTCCAGACACCAGTGCAGCCATGCAGCACAAGGAACTATCCTACATCAACCTCTGGTTGCCTAGTGTTATTTGCCCAAAGAAAACAGAAAAGAAAAAGTGTCCAAAATACAGAATACAGCTTTGGATATGAACTAAATGATAAAGTATATTCCATTAGGCTTTTTTTAAATTTTATTTTGTCTTTGGTTTTAATGACCAAAACACATAAAGCTTTGATTATTATAATATGCTGGGTTTATGTTCTTTGAATATGTATTGTTAATTTTTTCCCTTATATATTTTATATATGAAAAGAGAGGCAACACTAGATTCCAGCTAAGAGCTTTGTGTAAACAAGTCCTGAAGAACTCTGGAATTCTGTCTGCTTATTGTTAAGATTCAATGCACAGGCAAGGAAAAGCACGTACAGCTAATGGGGCCATCTCCCAGGGTCATCCAGCAGCTGTTCCTGTTGAATATTCAAACACACCCATCCACACCCACCTCCACCCATGCATAAAAGGATTGAAAGGATCACCGCACAAGAAACAAGAAAGCAAGACTGATGACATTTAAAAACGAAGACTGCTTTTAATAATAAAAGGGTTTTTTTCCTAAGCCTCCCCACCCTCCCTCTTCTTCTACCCTTCCTATATTCCTTTTTCTAACTGTTTTTCTTAATGACCTAATATCCTTTAATCACTTAATTCTCATAATTATGATCTAAGAACATTTGAATGACCTACCCTGGATTAAACCATATGCAGTAAAATAAAAACAGACCTCCTGCTAAATTACCTATTTCCCTTCCCATTTTGACTCCTGTATGTTTTGGGCATTAGGGAAAAATTCTTTTCTCCAATATTTCTCCAAGATAAAAAAGATAACATTTTCAAAAGCCCCTGGATGTGTTTGGGATCTAATTTTTAAGGTATTCAAATACTGCAGAATTCAACCAGTGAGATCCACATATGCACCTAAGGGGAATTATCTGTCCAGCTGAGATTAACTTAAAGTGTCTTAAGAACCTCCTGTCTCACTATCAGTCAGTTGTTTGCCCACTCTTTAAGCATAGTGTTACTAACCTCTGTGATTTGACATGATGTTTGACCAACAACGTCTTTATTTCAGGAGGAAGGTGGTATTGCTTGTTTTTTATTTGGAGCTGGGAGGGGACATCTTTCAAATTATAGCTCCCCTTTCTCTGAATTCACTGTTCTTTTCGGATTTCTCTTGCCTTGTTTCTCTTTATGAAAACCATACAACTATTTTAACAGAAGATTTATAATAAACACATGTACAATTTAGAGTACGTAACAGAACAAGGAAGCAGAGCCACGGCAGAAGTTTCAGAGAAGTTTCAGAGAATTTTCAGAGAAGATTGGAGTTCCAAGGTTATAGCCCATTTTATGCTATTATACCAAGAACTCCAATCCACTTGGGGAACACAAGTCACAAATTGGACAAGTATTTCCAATGAGACAATTTTCTAAAGAAAAAGACAATTTCAAATGAAAAAAAATGCACAAAAAACATTTTAATCTTGAAAAGTTGAGGAGATTTGGAAAAAACTGTCATTTTTCCTATGGAGAAAAGTACCACCTTTCTTGTCAAACCTAAAGATATTCTAATGGTCAGCAATCTAGCAAGTGTCATCTGGAAACTGTCAATCGACTAACAGAATAAATTCTTTGGAAACATGACAAATTCAAAGGCACCCACACACAATAACAACAAAAAATCCACCTGTTAAAGCTATGAATAATTATACAAGCTTCAGCTGATATATAATATATCCTGGTATTAATCGAGATCCTTAAATACCCTTCTGGTTCTAAAAATACTTTAGAGGAACTGTACATCCCAAGAGAACAGCTTGTAGAGGACTTTCTTTAGCTTCCTTTAAATTTTGTAATTTCCTTTTATATCCCAACATAACCACATTCTAGAAATTGTGGTTTGTGGGTCTGGATTAATTCCACGTGGTTCTCTGAGGAGAGTTGATCCTTCTACCAGAGGGAGAAAAATATCCCTGGAGAGTTAGACAAACATGACATAGTTATAATGGTGGCAAAGCAGATCACCTGCTTTTGCAGTTAAGTGCCACAAGCCAAGATGAAATTGGCTTGGTTTTCATATGATAGTACAGAAAAATAATGTTTTACTACCTCTGAACTTTTAAAACCATATGGTATTACAAATCTGTTTGTTTTCTCCTGAGAAGTCTATGTCAAAGCATTTTTCCTGTCAAAATAGGTATTTAGTCTGTTAAACTGTGACATTTATAGAAACAGCATAGCCCTTTTTTATGCAAAATCAAGCTTCTTATAAGGACTCAGAGCCATTTCCCATGTTAATTTTTTGGAGGGAAAGTGAATTTGGAAAGCATTGTTTTTACAGGTCATATGCAAATAAATTGACTAAAAACCCCACAAATGTTGTGGTTTGTGCTCATGAAAAGAAGTCAGAAAAAGTTGAAGAGGCATCTTGAATATTGGTTTTCACAAAGAGAGGCTACAAAGTTGAAGCACTGTGGTTGGGAATTTGTGTAAATGTTGTCCCAGAACCTGGGGAAATAATGCCTATCTAAATTGAAATGCTATATTCAGCCAGATGTGACTAAAAAAGATATTTTTTTATCAGATCTCTGCTACTCCTACCTAATCAAAGTCCAGAGCATGAGAAAGAAATGTCTGAGTTAGCCCCACAGTTGCTGGTGTATGTGCTATTTGTATCTAAATGTTAGGAAAAAATAAAAGATGGAGTGAGACAGTAAGGTATAGTGGTAAGAAACAGCTGAGAGAGTAGAGCAGATCTATATTATCCAATGAAAAATTATGCAGAAATAGTTAAACTAGTGCCAGTTAAGAAGGAAAGCCTACACCATGTGATGCAGCATTTGGCAGAGAATAACTTGTCTCTCTCAGCACTGCTCATGTGGCAACACTCCTGGTTTCACCTTTCTACTACACATCATCATCTTCTTTAAAAAAAAAAAAAAAATCTTTCACAGCAAAGAAAAGTAAGTACACAAAATGCAAAGTAATATGACTAATTTTAAGAGACCTGTGCATTATAAGTTATTGTGACAGTGGTGATACACTGCTCAAAGTTTCTTTCCAGAAGGTAACATAGTAAATGTTAGTCAGTGGATATGACATTACTGTCATAGATATAATACAGTGAATTAAAAAAAACAGGATTATTTTTATTATTCCCATTCCTACTGTAGCTCTTAGCCTCACTTTCTTTATGGTTTATCACTTTTTGTGGCTACCTACTTTGGAATGTTACTGTACCTATCGTAGGTCATCAGTATTTTGGTTTCCATTTGCTCTTTGGTTTGGCTGATGCTTGGCAGATCCACACTGTAACTTATTATTAAAAAAAAAAAAAAAACAAGCCCACAAACCCAAAACAAACTAACATTTTCCCATTTCCTATTTTCAATATATTCTATGATTTTCAGTTTGCAGATTTGAGATTTTAGGTTTCTGAGAAAAGAAACCTAAAATTTTATTACAATATAATGTTCGATGCCAAACCAATATACGGACTTTCTTCGCCTTCTTGCTCCATCTAATTTCATCGGGATGGCTGGTGTTTCAAGCACTGAAACTAGGATTGTTGCAACCACTGATATTTGGTAAAGGATTTTAAATATACTTACTTAAAATAAAAAAATATGCCAAGAGAAATCAGAAGTGATGCAATTGAAAGACCATGTCCGATGATGGCCAAGTAATACAAATTCAGAGCAGTCTGCAATACAAGAACAAAACCAAGCACTCGTGATGCATACAGAACTATTGGTGGTAAAGCACATAATTATACATCTCTTCCGCATGTAAAATGACTATAATAGAATTAAGAAAATAAAAACATTACAGATAATGATGAGTCAAGTCCAGAATCCTGCAAATCAATATCTTACTAAAATCTCTTTCTGTATGCAAGGCACACAAAATCAATGAAATCATCACTAAACTTATGTCTTATCAGTTAAAACATTAGGTTTCTAATATATACTGCTATGGTTTTTCTGAGTATTTACATAAATCTGGCTATTTATGCTACTACACTGGGTGCATTCCTGTCTGAGGCTTGATTAATCTATTAGCACAACTCTTAAGTAAAACATGTGCTTCCTATATGATTTTATATATTTTTTCCTCATAAAAGGTTTTTTCTTATAACTGAGAGATACTTCCTTCAAAAGCAAGCTGTGAATATGATATTGGAAATTTAGGTTTCATTTGACATTTAAGGAAGTGCATGAATAAAATTAACAATTACTTAAAAAAAGGTGAAGACTAAACAGTCTTGTTAAATAAACCTACAGCCAAATTATAGAATTATGAAAAGCTGAGTAAATACAAAAGGTAAAAATGAAGAACTAGTAAATTAATGTTTGCAATACATACAACCTGTTATTGTTAATTCGTTGAATTACAAAATATATTAATTTCCACTAGTAACAAACGCCTGCTTTCAGTCATGGAATCTGCCTCACAAAATTTCTCTTGTTCATTAAATGTAAGATTATCCTTTTGCACATAAGGAAATTAAGATTTTCAGGTTGAACCTTATACTATCATAATAAAACATAACTATCTCGATTCTATAGGAAGAATTAGGGCACACATACAAATGCTTTAAAAAAAAAGTGCAATGCAATGGGTTTAAGTGAGACTTAACTACTGCTTAGGGCAATAACAATAAGAACTGAACAATGGACAACAGTCACATTTAGCGTGCATTATCTAACCCACCTCCCGAGCAAAGTGAAAAGATAATGTTGTTTAATATAACAAAACATAGAACTGTAGTAAGCAGTAAGGCTTTCTTCGGAGCTACTATTCCATTTAACAATAGCTTCTGATGCATGACAGAGCTGAAACATGCTGGCAAAACAGCCTGAGGGAAACTAACTCATTATTCATGAAGAAGGACTTGCATGGATCTGCTCCTGTCTGAATAATATTCTCCCAGTTTCCAGCCAAATATTAGCAAGAAGTAATGAATTACAGCATCTCTGTTAGTAGAATTAAATTGCCATTAACATATTCAGTGTCTCATGATTTGAGAAAAAGCAATACAAAAGTGCCTTGTATATCATCATCTATTATCACGCTTTCTCAACATGGTTTCTAGGCAAATACCCTAAAGCACTCTTGACAGCAACCATGCAGACAGTTAGGATCTCTATTAGATGTCAGTTTTCTTGACACAATCTGCTATGATTGAGCTCTTTTCCATGAGGTCCAAATTAATTTACAGTCTATCCAGACCTGTGTTTTATATTTTTAGTTTCTCAGAAAGGGGGCATTGGGAGGTTTACCAGTTTTCTTTTTCTCCTAAATCTGTCAATGGATGGGCATCTTCAAGATAAAGTGAAATCTATAAAAATACCATCCATACAGACACCCACACAGGTATGTGTATGCACAGAGTCTACCTTTGATGTAAAGAAAACAATTCTCACAAAGCATTTCGCTGCCTGGCTTGAGATAATTTTGGATGTTTGCAAAATTTCACTTAAATAGGTATAGGTTTTCCATTTGTGTGAACAACTTAGTATCTCAGAAACAGAATAAATGGCATTTGGGAGCCAAGACACAAGACATGCACAGGAAAAGGATCACAAGGAAAAACAAACCCTAAGTAACACTTCTCATCATTTACTTCCCTTTGGCCTCCAAAGATCCTGTGATAAATCCACTCAACTACAGCTTGCCTACACTTTTGTTTAAAATAAATAAATAAATATTATGCTTTTCATAATGGGGAAAAAAACACCCAAACATCCAAACTTAAAGCTGCCTTGAAGATGTATTAAGCCCAAGCAAACTTTTGTTGTGCTCTGAAAATCTCTGTCTGAAAAACTCACAGTATGAGTTACTTGGATAAACCTATGCACTCAGCACATCTTCCAGAGATGTGCAAACCTTTTGCAGTTCTGCAGAGCATGGACCCTACTTCAAAATTATAAAGCAAAATGTGAAGGTCTGCTTTTATAAGGCATACATTTTGCTTAACAGCAAGTGACTGTGAATGACCTAAACAAGTACTAGTACCTACGCATTTAAAATACCCATAAACAAAAATACAATCATATTATTTAAGCAGTTGAAATCAGCTTTAAAAGACAAATCACATGGGTTGAGGGGTTTTTTTTAGTCTGTTTTGCACAATTCATCCTTTTTATTCAACATACTTTCTTCTTTCTGCATTCTGATGTTGCATCAACTCTGGGGCCATTCTAAGTTTGAAACTTTGCAATTTTTCAGATCAGTTTCTTGACTCTGGTAACATGCATTCGTTCTTTTCCTACCTTCACTTTCTCATGAGTATAGATATTACACTGGGTATAGTTCGTCCACGTCCTGTTGCTTTCTGGGTGCCTAAACCAATTCCCGCTTGGATCACAGATCTTCGTAACTTTTTCTACAGTCAAAGTTGATAGAAAGAAAAACAAAAAAGAAAACCCACAACAGTCAGCACTGAAGTTCTACTTCCGGGTGCCTAGTATTTAATGAAGAAAGATTGGCAAGCAAATGACAGCTATGGTAATATGACTAGAGAGACATTGTTTGTTACTATGAATTCTGAGAAACTACAGGCCATTGCTTTTGCTTGGCAAGGGCAAATGGTGATGTTTTTTTCTTAAGAAAACAAATAGATTTCCCTCCTCCAATCCAGTAAGTATCAAAACACATGAAACTGTTAGAGAACTAACAGATGAAGTGACAAGAATATTTAAATGGCTTGTTTAACATCCAAGATCTCAGCTGAAGTCTGACATCCTATCACTGTAAATTAGGATTGCACAGGCAAGAAAACATCAGTAGAGAAACTGCTCAAGATCCAAACTGGAAAATTTCTGGGACCAGATAATGATTCCTATCATCAAATAGAAAAAGGCAAGAAAGGACCCTGGGAAATACCAAAGGCAGCAGAAAGAGACAAGCATGGAAGTCTACGACATTTTCCACATGCTCACAGATGCAAAGTTTAGCCTACGGAAACAGGAAAAGATTCACTCATGGGAGAATCTCTTGTCAACTTCAGCTGCTAAATTGAGGTAAAAGAATAAGTCATATTTCTGCTTGCCTGCCAGATAGAAAAGCTCATCTCTAAGATGAAAAAACTGTGATCTAACTTCAATTTATATTTCCTAATCTACAGAATCCCTCAAGGACATATTTCAGAAAAGAAAGTAACTAACTTATCAGTTTTCTACATGATAAAGGGAAAATGCAAATAATGGGTTTCGAGTTACTGAAATTCTGGAGCATTGGTGACTTGAGTGGGGCAAACACCCAAAGCCTCATTCAAGCACCCAAAGCCTCATTTTATTAAGAAATATGTTGATGTTGATGTAGAAGCCCATGCACACTTACCTGATGGGTTGAAATCCTGAAAGTAGTCAGGACAACGCTGTACTGACACAGTTCCGGCAGCAACATCACTCCAGCACAGCCATCCATCCCATGTCCTGTTACAGTAAGGACCTGCAAACAAGTAATAATAAAATAACACTTCTTTCATAATAGTCTTTCAAAAGTAAGATCTAGGACTGCATAAGGTAAGTTTCTCACTTGCAGCAATAAAAAAAAAAAAAAAGAAAGCAGAAACATAAGATTCAGCAATATTTAATTATAACTCCACTTAATCGAAATAGTACCTTATATGTACATTTCTTTGAACACTATTTAAAATCCATCATCATTCACCTTGAAACTCTCTGCATCTACAATTTACAAACCTCAGATCTAAAGCACAGTAAGCAAAACAAACTAAATCAACTCAGATCAAATAATGCATGTTAACAAAGAGCCTTAAGCTTGCAAAGATCATTTTACTTGATTTATTTACATTTTGGATGTATACCAAGACTATACATATGTTTACTAGTTCACTGAAAACACAGTGGTACCCTAGAAGCCACCAGAAACCCTGGCTGGGAGGCAGCCACAGCTCCTCTGTCTCAGGCAGAGCTGAGCCTGCAGCGGTCTTCATGGACAGACACTTCTCTAAGTGCTCCAGGGACAGGGAATCCACAGTGTTACTCAAGAGCCTGTTCCAATGCCTCATTGCACTCACACAAATTTTAACATCTAAAATAAACCTCACTTGAAAAAGAGCTGGGATTTTATAAACAAATCCTTTCCCAAAAGGCACACAGAATGACCGACCCTCTCTACAGATTTGAAGATGTTTTTCGTATCTTCCTTCAGTTTTCTTTTTAAGACTTAATAATGCCCCCTCATCTCAAAGGCTGCCTTTTTCAAACATCATGTAATTCTTCCTCTTCTCATCTGAAGATTTTCCAATTTGTCCATATCCTTCCGAAGCTGTGATGCCGTGGATTGGACAAAAGCTTACACTGTCATACTCCTATCCGTTTCTGACCTCCACACATTCAGTTCCTCCAAAGAATAGTTTCGGATGAGAAACAAACTCATTGTAAAAGAATGCAATTACCTCTTCTTGCCTCAAAAGCCATTCAGTGTTCCCAGAAGTTATAAAGTCAGAAACAGTGAATGCAGTGACAGTTAGTGAGGTTAGAGCTGAATGAGTTATCAGAAAAAGCATTAATGACACTAACACAGCCCTCAGAGCAGGGAAATTATGTGTATCAAGATATTCTCAATTTTTCAAGGCAGATGTGACCAGGGAGACAGAGGTATTATAAGAACATGAAATGAAATAAAGCGGTAAGATTAATCAGTTGTCATTTTTTAATCTGGATATCTATTTAAATTAACATTTTATTATCAGAAATAAAAGCTTTGTGTTATACAAGAAGTGGCGCTAAGGGCAGGTATTACAACATATTATTTTATCCTCATGAATCCCAAAGTGACACTTCTAAAAAATTGTACAAATACAATTACAGTCTGAAAAATGATTGCTACCAAGACAAGAAATGAATATAACTAAAGGATCCTGAATTACTGTAATTATATCTGTTGACCATTTGCCTTTGCAAAACCTTATAAGAAGATAATTTCTACCTTCTTTCCTATGAATAGGATCTTGCATAATTTTCTGGTAGCATTCATATTGTGCTGTCATGATTTTATTCCGTGTAACACTCAGTTGAGTGAAGTCCTCCGTCATATTCTGATGCCCTTCGGATGGTATAGCAGTGGCAAAAAACTAAGAGGAAAAAAGACCTTTTTTTAGCAAGTCATGTACAAACTTGGCTATAAACTTCTTAAACTACAATCTTTTTAAATATAATATTTTAAATATTATTTTACTGAAGGAAAATGATCTTCAAATCTTATTACTGACAATATGATTTTGTTTTTTTCTAGTTAATTTAGCAATTTTTCTTTCTACTGAATCTTGACAAACATCTCCTGAATAAGCATGGGGGAGTAACAATCGGCAAAATTTGTAAATAATAATGGAAAAATGCACAGAAAGCATATACACAGC